GCATTGTCCTTGTCGTACAATGTTTCGCCGTCGGTGTCGAATTGCCAAAGTTCTATATGGAGAAGCATTGGAGATCGGTCACCTTTCTCCTCATCCCCGTCATGACCTTTGGCTGGCTGATCACGAGTTTGTTCATCTGGTGGATGATTGACCCCTTGAACTGGCTCGAGAGCTTGGTTGTCGCAGCCTGCGTCACCGCTACCGACCCCGTTTTGGCTTCCTCGGTCGTCGGTAAGGGCAAGTTCGCCAAGCGAGTCCCCAAGCACTTGCGAGACGTCTTGTCTGCGGAGTCCGGGTGCAACGATGGCATGGCCTTTCCCTTCGTCTACCTCGGAATTTACCTCATCCAGGAGCACATGGACGCCAAGCAAACGACGTTCCACTGGATTGTCTACACCATTCTGTACGAGTGCATCTTCGGTGCCATTTTTGGTTTCCTCGTAGGCTACATTGCGCGTCACGGCATCAAGTTCGCCGAGAAGCGCGACCTCATTGACCGCGAGAGTTTCCTGGTTTTCTACTTTGTGCTTGCGTTGTTCTGCGCCGGTGCTGGTAGTTTGCTCGGTATGGACGATTTGCTTGTCGGTTTCGCAGCTGGTGTAGGTTTCTCCAACGATGGTTGGTTCGCGGCCAAGACGGAGGAGTCTCACGTTTCCAACGTCATTGACCTGCTGATCAACTTGGCCTACTTCGTCTTCCTCGGAACCATCATCCCTTGGGAGCAGTACAACAACGTCGCTGAGGGTCTCACCCCCTGGCGCTTGGTTGTGATCGCCATCTTCGTCATTCTCTTCCGTCGCATACCCGCCATGCTGATGTTGAAGCCACTTATCCCGGACATAAAGACTTGGCGCGAGGCACTGTTCGCCGGTCATTTTGGTCCCATTGGTGTCGGTGCCATCTTTGTCGCAATTCTAGCTCGCGCCGAACTTCAATGGGAGACCGTTGTGCCGCTGTCGGACACCCCGCCGGATGAGATTGAGCACAGGACACTTGTTGCAGTTATCTGGCCCATCGTCACCTTCCTGGTCATCTCATCCATCATCGTCCACGGCTCTTCAGTCGCTGTCTTCACCCTCGGAAAGCGCATCAACACGCTAACAATCACCATGTCATACACCACGGCCCCCGAGGACGGCCCTACCTGGATGAACCGTCTGCCAAGAATCTCCTCGCAGTCTCGATCACAAGCTCGCACCATGTCCGATACCGATGGCGACGATTTGAAGATGCCGGACTTCCCACCCGGAACCTTGCCCCCTGTGGGCTTCCCCGGCGCATTCCTCAGACGCCAGAAAGAGGGCGAGGATGGCTCCAAACACCGAGGTCGTTCGACTTCCCGCAGCCGTCGCAAGAGCAAGAAGTGGGAGGACGGTCTCGGTCCCGGTGGACCTGTTTCGCAGTCTGCTATCTTCCCCACGAGACGTGAGCCCTTGCTCAACGAGAAGGAGCCTTCATCACCGGATAATGCCGATGAAACGATGCCCAGACGCGACTCTGAGAGAGGCCGTGGAAGAGATCCTGAAAAGGACGATGAGATTACTCCTTCTCCCGAAGAGGGCTCCAGCCGAACCCAGACACCGCCCAAGATCCAGATCTACGAGGAAGGAGACAACCTGGTGGTCGAGAATGAGGATGGAGATGTCTTGACCGTTGAAAGATCTTCTGACCTACGTGAAGGTACGGGCGGTGACCCCGTTCACACTGATCTTGCTGCCGTGGCTGCCGCCAAGTCGAAGCAGGGGGAGAAGTTCAACTGGACCCTTGATTCCTTCAAGCGCAAGGTTGAGGATGTCTACACTTCAGAAATCGAGAAGCGCAAGGAGAAGAGCAAGGCTGATAGACGACATGAGCCTGCTCGTGCTTTCCAATTTGGCAACACTGTAAGTTTTGAGATTTGGTGAATGGCTGGATGTCGCTAACATGATGATAGGTTATTGTCGAAGACGAAGATGGTGAAGTTATCAAGACTTATGAACTGCCATCGTCCAAGACTGGAAAGGAAATTGGCGGCATCACGCAGCAGAGTCTGAAGTATCTTGGCATGGGTGGTTTGCTCAAAGCGTCCGAAAAGGCGGCAGCCGAGGCCGCCGCCGCCAAGCAAGGCGAGTCTAGTGCTGAAGGTGCTGCCAAGGCACCCGTGAAGGCTGGATGGCAAAATATGTGGAGAGGCGGCGACGCCGAAAAGCCCAAGAAGAAGACTGTCGAGGAGCAACAAGAAGATGATCGACACATCAGATTCACCATCGGCGGCGTTGGTCAGCGCATGACCAAGGAGGATTTCATTCGGGAAGTGTCGAAGCTCGACGTCAAGACTCGCCGTGAGGTCGTAGACCAATCTACCGCATCTCAGCGAGTGAAGTCAATCGCGAAGGGAGACATTCCTTCCCCGGCAGACATCCCGACCATTAAGATTGGAAGCGACTCTGCCGACAAGCAGTCAGTAACCCGATCTCCCCCGCGCATAAACACCGGCTCGGCCCAGGCACCACCCGCCCGGGAATCCGAAGACGCTGATGAGGACGAGACGGCCGTCGAGAGACAGCGTAGGTTAGCTGTCTTGGCGGGCCAGGGAGACGAGGACGCCGGCGAGACCCCTGCGGAGCGACGCCGTAGAGAGGCTGCTCTCGGCATGGGTTCGCCCACCGGAGGCGATGACTCCGACGACGAGGGTGGCGAGAGAGTGCCACCGAAGACGAGGGGAATCCGTTTTGCGGAGAACACGGTAGAGAGGGGAAGGAAGTGAGCATGCGAGATATAGACGGTGAAGCATAGCGTTGCATTCATTGGAGGGAACATATTGCATGCATCATGACAGCGACCACCCACTCGGTTGGCATTTGTTTTTTTGGTATCTCGGGACGGAACCGAGTTACTTTGACGCGATGGAACGGCCTCATTTTTTGGTAATCATATTGTCTATTCTGTGCATACTTGGAAAATTGATAAGGCCTTCTCGTGGACATTCTTCCACACTGATCAATCGTGAATTCAAGCAGTCTGGGGTTCAGGGGTTACAGCATACCGCCCCCAAGTTTCCCCGCGTCAATGAACTGGAGACAACGCCGGCAGCGCATGTGATCTTAGGACCGTTAACTATCACGCCGCACCATCCCAAAGCTCTGATCCATGTTGGGACGTTTGTGAGCAGGCTAGCCTTGGTGGTAAGTAATCTAGACCATACTGTGCTTGAGGCTGTACCCTGCGTTGCGAGGGTTAACCTGGGTTATACTCTCCGCAGGGCTGTGACGTCATTTTCTGCTCTCAGGGTGTTAACCCCGAATGCCGGGGCCGATGTGGGGCGATATGCGCGGCGCGGCGGTGGCGGAGCGGTAGTGGGGCTCCTTTTCGAGGTCCGGGCGTGGAGGGGTTCGGGCTGGCCGCGTGTCATATAGCTCGCGGGCGATTTCGGCTGGGTTGGGTGAGTCAGACCCTGGATGGATGAGATGAAGATGGCATGCGTGGACGCAAAGGATAGGATGGCGGTTCGGCTTTATGATTGATGGGGAGCAATAAAAGGTCGCTTGTGCCGGTTAGCTCTGCCTCCTCCTTCTCCAAATGCGCACGGCGGGCGGTCAATTGTAATGCTTGAACGTCAATATCCGACTCGGCTGCGGCGATTCATATCAAGCATCACACCGTGTAAGTCTCCAGGTGTATCTCCATGCTGTAGAGATCAGAAGGAGCAGTGACAAGAGTTCATGCAGGAGCATCCCGTTGAGGCGTCGTCGTCCTCCCTCGTCGCTATTCGTTGATTATCCAAGTATTCCGATGAAGAGACACTTCCTTTGATTGAAGGGGGGCTTCAAATACGCCCAGTCACATAGATTGTGTTACATTGAGCAAGTCTAGCAAGAAAGTCTCTGGTGATTCCTTCTTCCCAAGAGAATATTTGGTCTTGGCCTATTGCGGCGTAACGATTCAGAAAGGCAGCTTGCACCGGATTAAATACAATATTTCCCTTGACGAGCAAGTCGGGACTTCAGGGCCTGTTCTCTTCTGTATGGAGTCAGACTTATCCGAATGTTTCATTGGTGTGTTTCATGCCGGTCACAACGATAGATACCAGAGAAATGCCGGCCTGCTTAAATAGATCTGGCGTCTCAGTCGACAAGAACAAACAAGACAATGGCCATTCTCATGCCTCTGGAAGTTGGGAAAGCGGGCCGGTGATGTCGCGTCTTCTCGGCTTCGTCTAGTATCAATGATGTGAGGATGTCGAGGGTCAGAGACCTAGGATCTGAAAAGCACGTTGACTGACTTCCCATGGTGTTTCTCATGTCTGCTCATTTTCGCTGGGACATTATTCTCCTATTGCTTTGTTGAATATCGCCTCAATCATGCGTGTTTATCAGCCAAGTCAAAGTCGGCCATATCAGCAGCGTCCAGTGCCAATCAAAGAGGCTCATATCAAGTCAGCCCCTCCAGGCTTGCGCATGTAGGCAACCATATCGCTACGCACTTTTCATACCACAAGCTGAAAACATTTCAATGCAGATTCGATTGTCTATTTGCTAAAGCTCTTATCGATTTGTGGGCTAATCGAGCCGGGTATGCTACCCGGAGAGGGCGGGTGGCTGCCTGCCAGCCTGATTGACTTGTAAGTGTATGAAGTCCGCAGGGCTGAATTCGAATTTCCAATCAATGTGTACCGCGCGGCTCCTTCTCTACCTGAAGAAGTTCCGTGGCCTCCTTCGGTAGTATACATGTAAGCGCCGATGCTGTGAGGGTTGCATTTCCAAAGCTTTGATTAGTCGCCTGATTCATCTCGCCAGCGAATGCAGAATTTTACACCTAACAACATGTGTCACTCTTAAAAGAACCAGGCTTGCTTGATCATAAGTTTTCTTCTCGTTGTTGTGTTGGCAGATGCCCGTATATGTATTAGACCTGAGGCTTTCAAGACTATGTATATATGTATCGCCACAGGAACCGCATCCAATTTCGAATTAAAGAGAAGCAGCATCATCCTAGAACCAACATCAAGAGACACATGCACAATGAAATCGGCCGCTCTGTTTCTATCTTCCCTCACTTGCTGCTTTTATGTTGTTGCAGCGCAGACGACCACAACTACCGAAAGCGAAGAGAATCGCTATGAGAAAGAGATCAAATGCTATGGGCTCCCGTACGGAGTCACAGGCTTCATCTCGCACCTTTTGACGTATTACACGGCCCTCATGTTAGCCTGCGGCAGAACCCCACTTCTGCCATGGCGTGAACTAGATGAAGGGCCACAGAATATTTTTCTCGCCATCGCCAAATTGGTTCTGACAACAGTGGCATCGATCGCCAGCATTGCCACTTGCGTTCATACTTGGTTCGTATCTTCCATATTCAGATCTGCCCATTATTGCCCATTATTCAGTACGCAATGTAACTGACGCCCAGTCGCCACAGGGAGTTTGCCGCGCTGGCAGCAATGAAGTTGTCTCTGTCTCTGACCTACGGCCTCATCAGCATTTTTCACGCCAAACAGATATCCCTACTTTATCTACCCGGTGCAATTGCAGGCCTTGCAGGATCATTTTCTATCGCATCATCGACAATGTCCGAGCCAGCTATGAAGCTTGTCACTGGTCTCTTTTGGGGCTTGGCCGGCATGACTTCCGCCACCATCATCATTGCCGGCTTCACATGGGGCCGCGGGCAATACACCCCAGCGGCAGTATTAGGGTGTGTGATGGCCTATGGGGCGTTGTACTCTGACTGGGTGCTGGTCATTGTGGCAAACGCTGGTGTGTCTGGTTATCCGCATCGATCGCCAACGTGGGAGAAGGTATTATGGGTCTTTTACTTCATAGGAAAGAGACTAGCACTCTTCATGACTTGAGTCGATGGGCGAGCCAAAGCATTTCACAAGTCTGCTGACAATGTTGTCGGAGACAACCCAAGCTATGATAAGTCATGTTTGAATCGCTTTGGGACCGACAAAAGTTACAATTGAGTTCGATACAATTGAGTTCTTGTCGTTCTTCCCTTCGTTCCTTTTGGAGCGTGAACCACCATGTAATGCACTGCGTGCCCTCGATTCAGACACCGCTGATAAGATACAGGCTACATATCAGCCCAAAGCTCGTTAGGCTAACGTTCACCCAAATTTCCAAAGACGCATCACACAATGATGGTCTCCAACTTCGACCCCTCGCAGGCTTGGATCGAATGCATGCGGGGTACCCCGGCTTCCTTGGATAGTCTTCTTTCCAAATCGGTAGCGAAGTCGGATGGTATACGCTCATGCCAATGCGGGCTTCTCCCGCGAATTTCTAAATGTCAGCGAGCGATCCCCCGGTACCCCGACGAATGCTTTCGCCATCGGGTTAGATTGTCGCGAACAAAAACGCGAGTGGCCCAGCCAATGTTTTGCCGCGATCTAATGGTGGGAAAATAATGCGAGAATAACCAGCGGGTAATTATTGATGCCTCTCTCGTATTCATCAAGACAAATCGGGGCGGTGGAAACGTTTCTGAATCCTGAGCAGGATAGTGAAAGCAACTTGCCGCAGTGCCGCACCAATCATAAGATGCTGAAGGCCATAAACTCCAAGCCTTAGCAGTGCTAACCAAGATAAACATTTAGAACTTAAGAGCAGTAGGCTCTCATGAGTCTTTAATCAGTATTTAAAAGCTCATCTGAGTACATACCACCCATGGAGGCATCATCGGTTGCCGACTTTCTCGTCCGCCCAAGATAGATTATTTACCCAGAGGCACAAGTTCCTTCAAGATGCGCATTCACGCCTTATCAGTTTCCTCTCTTTTAGCTGTTTTAGTGGCAGGCCGCGGTGCTGTCATCCCGAAGGACCAGAGCCTCAACACCACCTTCAATAATCCTGTCTTTCCAGGATGGCACCCTGATCCTAGCTGCGTCTTCGTCCCTGAGCGAGACAACACCACCTTCTGCGTCACCTCGTCCTTCTTAAACTTCCCAGGTCTTCCTATTTACGCCAGCAAAGATCTGGTTCACTGGGTGCACGCCAGCAACGCCTTCAACCGCGCAGAGCAGATCCCAGGCCACGCTGCCATGAGCGGCAATCCGCGCGGCGGCATCTGGGCTCCGACCATTCGATACCGGGAAAGCAAATTCTACGTCATTGTCACTTACGCGACTTACGCGCCCAAAGAAAAGGTCTATAATCTCCTGCTCCACGCCGAAGATCCCAACAGCGATGCGTCTTGGAGTATTCCTCTACCCATCACCAATCCAGGAGGAAGCAACCATATTGACCCGGACCTTTTCTGGGAGGACGGCACCGCCTATATGGTCACAGGCTGGGGCAGAATATTCCTCTCCGTAATCGACGTAAAGACTGGCAACGCGAGCGACAAGATCGAGATATGGAAGGGCACAGGTGGTAGCAACCCCGAGGCACCGCATATCTACAAGAAAGACGGCTTCTTTTACCTTCTTATCGCAGAAGGCGGTGCTGGTCTCGGCCACAGCGCTACCATAGCGCGATCTCAAACTCTCTATGGGCCATATGAGAGCTATTCTGGGAATCCCGTTCTCACAAATAGGGGATCGGGCGAGCTCTTTCAGTCAGTCGGACATGCAGACCTGTTTCGAGATGTTCACGACAACTGGTGGGCTGTTGCGCTGGCAACACGCTCAGGTCCGGAGCTCGAGAACTATCCTATGGGTCGAGAAACTGTGCTTGCGGCCGTGACTTGGGAGAATGACTCTTGGCCAATGTTCGATCCTGTGCGCGGCACCATGCATGGTCCTATACCAAGAACCACAGCAGCACCTCACAAGAGACTTCTGATCGATACCGGAGACGAGGTCAACTTCAACCCAGGGACTTCCTTGCCGCATCATTTCGTTCACTTCAGGTCCAAGGTCGAGGAAAAGTACACTATTATCAATAACTCACTACGACTATTGCCGTCACAAAGCAATCTGACGGGCAGCCCAGATCACTTCGATCCTGGAGATGGCGTAACGTTTGTCGGCCGAAAGCAAACAGCCACCAAATTCAACTTTTCAGTCGATCTGTCATTTGTGCCGAATAATGTTGGAGATGAGGCGGGAATCTCAATTTTTCACAGTCAACAACAGCACATTGACTTGAGTGTCGTGCTGCCTGAAGATTTCAATAACCCCCAACTACGGATGACGGCAACCACTTTCGGAAGACCAAGCGCACCAGTTCTCGAGACAGTATTGCAACCGGTGCCTGAAGCTTGGGCAAATTGTCCCATCCGATTATCAGTTGAGGCACTTGACGCAAATGACTACAAATTCGTGGCGTTTTCAACTTGCAACCGAGCAAGTGCGAGCATAGACATGGGCAAAGCCAGTTCGGACGTGACCAGCGGAGGGTTTCTCGGTGCGCATCCATGATTCCTTTAAATTTTATGGTCCAACGTAAACTATCTCTTTGCTAATAGTAACAAAAATATTATAGGAACCTTGATCGGAGTTTTCGCCACGAATAACAATGGTAGTGGAAATGCGGCTTCTTACTGGGGTCGATGGAGATACACACCAGTCGCGCAAGAGGTAGATAGGGACGAATATGTACCAGTCTAGAGACTCTAGCATACTCACGCTCGTAGCAAATTGAATTCCAGGTCATATGCTCTCATCCTTCTGGTCTTAAGTGGCTAGATAGAAACTTAGAGACCTCATCGTTCTCCATGGCTTTAGCACAGTCTAATACCGATTCCCCGCTAGAGTTTCGTAATTCAAGACACTCTCTCTTCGAGCGCACTGCTTGGATATGCGACAAGCATAACTTTACCTGCTCGAGAGTTCCGTTCCTAGCAACGGCATGGAGCGGTGTTTCCCCATCATCATCGGCTAAATCGGGCAGCGCCCCATGTTGTAGAAGGACTCGGACAGCATCCGTTGATGCGTGATGCTTGCGGCGATACATTCCCTCCCTTTGATTGAAGAGATAGTAAAGAGTTGTTCTACCTTGAGAACCTGGACGGTTCGGGTTTGCGCCTTTCTCAAGGAGTGCTCTCAGAGCACCGATGGAATCCTTATAGGAGGCGGCGATGTTTATGAGAGGCTGCTGGGGATTGCAATCTGTCCCATCAGCATCCCCACCGGCATCGATGAGTCGACAAACGAGTCGTTGCTGACAAAAGTGGTCCTCGACGGCCGGGGGTCGCTTCGTTGGGTTCTCGCCCAGTATCATTCTTCTTGAAACTGACTTGCAAAGCGCATCTTGAATCACCCTGGGCTCGAATGAAGACTTCGCTAGCAACACCCCCACGGTATTGTCGCACCAAGCGGATGCTGCGTCGACTAGTGCGCGGTCTGTCTCATCCTGCCAGCCATCCCAGACTTCAAGAAAGTAGGCTGTCACATCTGCCTGACCATTTCGAGCTGCTACACGCAGACATGTGAGCTGACCGGGTGTGAACTTTCTAGTCGGAAGAAATCGCCCCGGGGGACCAACTTGCTCCCAAAAGAAGCGGGCCATCGCAAGCGTGCCGCACTGTGCCGCCGCAAAGAGTGGTGTGAATCCAGGGTCTTGAGTCTGCCTCACCGTTACGCTGACGCCTGAGTCGATCATCATCCGGACTGCCACATCATCTCTTTCCGAGATAGCATAATGCAAGGCCCATCCTATGACGTGATCCGGGTCGACCTCAGGACTCCAGTTCTGTAGGATGTTTGCCAAGTACTCCCTGTCTCCTGGTTTGTTTCCGTGATTGAGATAGGGCTCCACGACATCATAATACTGGGTTTGTCGAGAGCTCAGTACGGTTTCCATGGCGCGTGCTTGACTTGGTTTGGGAAAAGTTCGATGTTGGTGAAGCGTGGAGAAAAGAAATGCAAAACAGTGGCAGCAGGATAAAAAGGATGACACCCCTGTCAGTCTCGGTAATAACATAGCTTGCCACCATGACTGAGGCCAAAATCGAGGCCAAAATCAAGCCTGCGAACAGCAATGAATTGTTGCAATAGAATACAAAGCCTGCTTAATGCACCATCTTACGTAAAACAAGAGTATCATTTCTTAGCCAAACCGTCAAGCTCGCAAATTGCCATATTAAGGGCGATCTCATGTTGCACCATGATGCTCTTGCGACTTGTTATTCAGTCCGTCGGAATATGTGCAGCACTTCAACACTGGTCTTTGAGTTTGTATTTCCATTGAAGATGGGCCATCAGCTCTAAGTCATGGGGGTTCCCATTCTCACAAAGAGACCATAATGGTACTTGAGAGATGTCTTACGACCGAGCTCGAGGGGAAAGATGCTCAATGGGTATGTTGTAGTGGTTGCGGTGGGCTTGAGCCACCAGATGACGCCTCTTCAACAGCCGGTATGGGCTTAGTGAAGGTCGAAGTCTTTCTTGGCTGGTATCAAGAAGGCTCAAGTCCAGTCGAGGGTCGCGCGCTGCAGAACAAAGACGCCAGCCAAGGAGTCATTCATTGCATAAGAATGAATGTTTCTCTGTAGAATGTGGTCATATTTCGCGAACCCAAGAAGCCATCTGGATATCTTCATTTCTCGGAGACCAAAGTTAGGACATGTGAGCTACCATGTTAAGGATTACAATGCAAGATATGTCGTGGATGGGTCCATGTAATGCTTAATCAAATATACACCGTAAGTGCCAGGGTTTCAGTCAGCCTATTACCAAAATGGCGAGTGCAATCGTTCGCGTGCAAATTTTTGTTTCCAGGTTTCAATGAGTCGTGAAGAGGCCCTGGATTGCTAAGCATTGCTGACAGAGATGTTGCACAAGAGTCTTGGGCAAAAGCCACTGACGCTTCACCGACCTTCATCTGATTTCGGACTTTTAAGTTGCACAAACTGAAGTGATTCACCTGACGAGCCAAAAGATTTTCTCGCATATCCCGTGAAAAGGCAAGCAGAGCCAGAGCAGACTCATCTGACACTCGTTTGCTCCTTCGTTTTCGCTCCTTGTTTGAGATGATATGAAATTGAGCATAGTGAATCACGACATGGCAGAGATTTCAAAATGTTGATTGTCGCGATGAGGCTTCTGTTCTTAAAGCTCTCAACTTCGCATTTATTAACCACCTTGACCTGTGCCGAAATTCACATCCTCATCGGCAACTACTATCGCACGGCAGCCAAGACTTTCCAACACCAGCAACGAAGCACCACAACAACGCAAAATGCATTCTCACCGCCGCAATCGTCACCCTCAACTTTCTTCTCCGACGTCAAATCCATTTTTGACTTCAGCTCACCGCTCGCCCTCTCCGTCCACCTTGTCTCCCCCTCTGAGATCCCCTCTGAGACCTCCTCGCCAGCTCAGCCCTCTCTTTTCAGACGACATGCCAGACCTTGCCTTCTCTTACTCGCCGACAAGCGAATCTCTGTTTCTCGTCGGCCACCCCCCTTCTGAGTCGTGCTTTCCATCCCCGCAATATCACAACGGCTTTCGCGGTCTCTCCTCTCCTGACAGCGGCTCGACGACCCCAGTCTCTGACAGACAGAGGGAAGGATCCCACAGCCCAGACGTACGACCCAGCACTGAAGACTGTCACACACTTTCTTCTACTCCGCAAGAAATTTTCGAGATGGAAGACAATTGGGTTCACATTCCTACTCCTCCCTCAACGACCCCGAGACTCCGTCGTCGCGACGTCCGATCCTCCGAGACTCAAAGAACACCTTGCCCTGACGGCCAGCATCGCTACGTGCCACAGCTTGTGGGAATCTTCGACATCGATATCCCGGACCAACACGTCTCCGATTTGACAATGGCTGACATACAGCAACACATCTCACACCTGATCGCGGGAGATCCGAGACTTCGCGCGTCCGCGCCATCCCTACCTGCCTCCGCTCCGCGCCCCAACCGCCGGCCGGGCAGTGTTAATCTCCGCATACAATACACGGACCTGCCTGAGGGACAGGGTGTCGAGATACCTCGTCTTTCACGAATGCCTCCAAATGAAACCTCCTTGAGGTGCAGGTGTGAGGAGTGCACGTGTCCGCGAGATGCCGACTTTTACGGGGACATGCTGACGGAGGAACAGAGGAGGTTCTGCGGGTACTGTCGAGCGTATCATGGTGGTCAGGTTTATCCTTTCTACTAACGATCAAATTGTCATTGCCTCCAAATACATCCAAGCGTTAGATCATATTTCTGTCCAGTGTCTCCTATAGAGTCGTGCTCGAAGTAGTTTAGAATTGCAGTTTGTTCTTGCACCTAGTGATCGTCATATCATGGTGATGCATCTGCGTAAAATACTTGCGGTTCTATACATGTTTATCTTACATGGAGCCTAGCTGTAGCTCTTTGGTATCCATAAATATTAGTATCTTCCATTTTTCCTCTTGCCCGGCGCCTTAAAACTTTCTCGTCGACTCGTTCCTGGCATCATACCATGTCCCCTGTCCCCACCGCCGTTGACGTCAACCGTGAAATACGCGTCTCCCCTCTCAAGGCTATCCTCCGATCTACTATCCAGTTCTCTTCTGCTATCCCGCTTGGACTCTTCAATCGTGATCTCCACGTTTTTGCTGATCCCTCCAGACGTTGGCATTGGTGGTGTATTCCGCGGCTGGTTCAGATGCTCCTCACTACCTGTTCCGGTGATCTCGGTGATGGGGTACTGGCTGAACGGCTGTCGTCCCTTTTTGCGGTTCTTGCTATCCGGCACGTCGTCGAGCTTGATGCTTCCGGGTTGAGGCAAATTGGGTCCTTTCGAGCCGTACTTGTTGTTCGTGTTGCTGAGAGGTAGGGTGCTGACGACGGTGCCAAAAATGGGGCTAAACCACCTGCGGATGAGGGGAAAGATCATGGGAACGTTGGTAGTGACAACCGCGACGAAAGTCTCGCGAACGGCCCACGATCCTGCTTGTGAAGCGCCATTGACGGGGTCCTGAGAAAGTATTAGGTTGGCCCGAACACGGAGAATGCGACTGTAGCCTACCGATATAATGAGGACGCAGCGCAGGATTCCTGCCATCGTCACAAATATTCCTCCCGAAAAAAGTACAATCAGTCCCAGCTTCTTCCTCAAGGGCAACTTTGAGAACCATAGCATTGGGATCGGGATGCTCATAAGATAGAGATCGGTCAAAACGTTCAAGACGACAGTGACGAGAATGTTGACCTTGGAAATCGCAGGTTGACATACATCTGGTGGCAAGTAAGTAATTGTATCTCTTGAAGTTAGTTGCGTACTCACTCCCTGGGTCGGGGTAGATTTGCCAGTTCTTGTGCGTCGGAAAGCAGCTGAAGATTATTGAGAAGAACACCGTGAGCCATGTAATCACAATCAGTGCGAAACCTCCGTAAATTCGCTTTTGGAAGTTATGAAGTCCTTCCTGCACGTATCTGTCAGCTTCGTGGCCGTAACCGCATGTCTCGAGGATTGGACGCACCGTGAGGCGAAGGAAAAAGGTGCACATGGCGGCTTTCGCGGGCCAGAGCACCAGACAGCTGTACGTGATCCATCCCGCAATTTGTGTTTTTGACCCGTTGACTCTTCACAACCGTGTTAGCTGGAGATTCCATCTTCAAGCAGGCCTTGCATCCGTACCTTATCCTGTACTCTTCGCTAATGGGATCTAGATTTTTCCTCTGTTCATCCGTCATGCCATTGTTCGCAAGCCCTTGCCAGTATGCTCCGACGCTATATGCGAGAGCAGTCTCGGCCGAATATGTGCACTGCAGATCATGGGTGTCAGTTGGACTAGCGTGCAGCTTTTGGGAAGAAACTCACTGCGACAAGAAGCATCAAATAGTCATCCGCCTGCAGATGCTTCACGCCGACGGCGCTAATTCGCGCATACGTCCGCAAAGCGATGACTCCGAGCCCCACGCCCAGAAGCGCAAACGCCTCTGTAGCAAAGTCGTCGGACATACTGTGCTCATGACAACAGAGACCTTGGGCGCACAAGATTTGGGGTGAAGAGGACCCCAATTTAGTCACATGGCAGCCCGAGCATGCCGGGTGTATATACCATTGAGCGAGCCCCTCGGAAGCCTGATAACAAAAGCGCGCACTGGCGCAGCCGTGCAGATCGATGTCACTTTGGGGTGTCAATGTGTGTCAGGGCGAGCGATCAGGGGTGCAGATACGTGAACATCAGAAATACCACATCCGGGCACCCGTGTTAATGTGCGGGACTCTATGAACCAATGGCAGGGTGGACGGCAAGTGGGAATAGATAGGAAACGGGGTCCAATTTACTTCTTGTTCCTGGACCATGGTTACATGGCTTGAAAATTGCTTTATAACCGGCACAAGAATCCTCTTTTGCTCCTCGCTCGACGTTGGGGCTGACTGAAGTTTCCCAAAAGGTCGAGAAAGGGGCCTTGGTCACCCGCTTCTGACATTTGCATATGACCATCACCGATTGCGGGGCGTCTCTTGCGTCAATGTCAATAATTTGTTGTGTTTTTCAGGCCACCGTAGGTTTCGTCATTGGCTAGTCAGCCTCATATACCCAGCCGCCGACCAGGTCGCAAATTCTACGGATATGCTGCGCCATCGTTATGCCAACAGGGTCGAAAGTTGTGGCATATGGGCACCACTGGCACGAATGTTGACCTTGATATGCGCACGTGCGGCACACGGCGCACAAGGCGAGGGGAATCCAATTTTGGCTTTTGTCAAGTGATCGCCTCGAGTACATGCAGTATTGCACAGACGGACATCCCATGTTCTAGAGTGAGCTAGCGGCTTGATGTAAACTCAGGGGGGGACAGAAGGCCTCCTATTCGGGAAGCCCCGCAAGCTGTCAGGAACAGGAAGACAATCCGTCATTGTGACATCCTAATAATAAGTCTCGGCCGAAGCGTCCATCCTTAGGGGAACGAAGTTTTCATCGGAGCTAGAGCCCGAAGGGCCTGCTAACTCACCTACACATGGCTGTTGTCTATACAAAAGGGCAATCGTGCCGCTCCCGGCTCTCGTCAAGCTTCAAAAAGAAACCAAGGTGTTGACTTGGTATGTGGCTGTGAGCAATAGCCGCGACCCGCGCTCAAAAGCGGATGAAACCTGGAGACAAGGCGGATGAAATGAGGAGTTGCTTCATGATGCTTGGAGATGGGCATAAGTGTGTATACCAGTGTGGCTTGAAAACAAGTTTGCTCCAGCTCGAGGTCCCCTCTTCTTTAATCCAGGAGCATCTTGTATGTCGTTTTCATAGCGGAGAAGGCCATTGGGCCGTCTCTGAGGAGTTGTTGGTTGGGATTACGTATGAATATCCTGCTTCGGTCACCGAGGTCCCATTCGCGCAGATGTACTGTCCATTTTCAGCCATGCCAGACGATGCCCTGTCTTTGTGATGCTATGGAAGAGCCTATGAAAGAGCCATCGTGCAGGAGCTTCGGATATGTAGTTTCTCAGTTGTCGTTATTAAAATGGGGCCGTGGAGCTCAGTTACGGAAGTTCCGTTCCGTTTCGGAACGAGCACGCTGAAGGATCTGCGGGGACAAAATCTGCGTGTCGTTAAAGAACGCTGAAGAACGCCCCGACATGCGAACCCGGTTTCCGGCTTTTCTTGTGTAACCAACTCAACAACATTGTGAAAACATGAAAACCAATCCTCGACTGACATTCAAAAGCGCCTTTTTGAAAGAGCATTACGAATATTCGACCAGAGACAGCGAGAGCCTGACGATTCTCTCAAGATCCTTCGCTCCACAGCAGCGAGTCAATGCCCCTGTAACCCCCCGGTTACCCACGGTTCTCGATCACTCCCCCGGGGAACGGATCCGGACGTGATGGAAGGCCGTGCTCGTCTCCAAGCTCCACGAAACCCCTCTTGAGCAGCATTACGAGAGCAATCCATCTTCAGCTTCAGTCTCTGGCAGTTGGGATATTTCTTGGTCGTTCTGGAGCCCAACATGGTCACATTTCCTCATCAAGCACGAGGCCGCAAAGAATCTTAAGCCCAGGCCCGTCTAGGCCGGGAAAGTCTCCGCCGAGGCCCTGTCCTAGAGTGGACATGACTAGGGACTCGACATTGGCCCATCCGTCGACAAATCATTGTCCATCGCTCAACTTCGACCGTTGCAGTGTCGCAGCAGGCTGCACCAACACAATATGGATTGAGCTTTCAGGAAGGATGAGGTACCCTACCGAATTCTCTCATGGTTCCACAGCTTCAGGGCAGCCCTCGGTGCTCCGTCCCGATGTCTTTCTGCGCTTCTTTCTCTTCTGAGCTGAATCCAATTGCAGCCTTGAAGGCTCTGCTCATTTTTGCTCCGTGCTCGCCTCTCGATTGAGGAGGATCTGGAACGTTGGTACCGACAAGAAGCAGAAATACACGTCACCTTGACCCGTCAATCACGATGGAGACTCTCGACTTCGCGATCATTGGAGCCGGTAGGTCAACCAAATTCATTTGCCAATGCTTGCGATCTGACCTAAAAAGGTTGGTACGGTCTGGCTGCGGCCAAGACTCACCATCAGCTTCACCCGCAAAACACGCTGGCCGTCTTTGACCAGTCGTCGACTGCCGGCGGCGTGTGGGCTGAGCACCGTCTCTACCCGGGTCTGAAGAGCAACAACATGCTCGGAACCTATGAGTACCCCGACTTCCCCATGGACCCGGAGACCTTCGGCGTTCTTCCGGGGCAGCACATCCCGGGAAAGGTCCTGCATGATTACCTCACCAAGTACGCGCAGAACTTCGGCATATTTGATAAGATTCGGTTTCAGCACAAGATCCTTTCAGCTGAGCACCAGGATACCGGTGGCTGGGTCCTGACAATTATGAATGGGGAGGAGGGCAAGGAGTTCCAGGTCTTCGCAAAGAAGCTCGTCGTCGCCACTGGCTTGACCTCACAAGCCTTTCTGCCCGACTTCGAGGGGCAAGAAACCTTTGGCGTACCAATATTCCACGGCAAAGACTTCCTCCAGCATGCGGATACTCTCAAGACATCCAAGCGCGTCACAGTCTTTGGCGGTACCAAGTCAGCTTGGGATGCCGTCTACGCATACGCTAGCAAGGGCATCGCCGTAAATTGGGTTATCAGAGGTATTTCTCTACCCTTCTTGCTTACTTTGAACACCATGACTGACGACTTAAAGAATCTGGACACGGCCCCGTATGGATGGCGCCGCCCTATGTGACCCCTCTCAAGAAGTGGCTTGAGAAGCTTGTCCACACCCGCGCGTTGACCTGGTTCAGCCCCTGCGCCTGGGGTGAGGCTGACGGCTATGACAAGACGCGATACTTTTATCATAGCACTGCCATTGGCCGAGGCATCGTCAACAACTTCTGGAACGTTCTCGGTAACGACGTGATCACCCTTAACAAATACGACTCTCACCCAGAGTTGAAGAAGCTGAAACCCTGGTGTGAAGCCAAGCACGTCGCTTCAAGTCTGTCAATTCTCAACTATGAGACCGACTTCTTCGATCTCATCCGCGATGGCAAGGTCCAGATTCACATTGCCGACATCATCAAGCTGTCTCCGAGAGGCGTTCATCTGTCTAATGGCTTGGAGCTGGAGTCGGACGCACTCTGCTGCGCGACCGGCTGGAAGCAGTTCCAGCCCATTAAGTTCTTCCCACCGGGGATCGAGAAGGACCTCGGAATCCCGCACGCCCCTACTCCCGACAGCTTCCCATCAGCTGAGATGCTGCAAAAGGTCGACAAGGAGATTTTCAGTACATGGCCCGCCCTTCAGGACCAGCCGACCGGAAACAAGAAACTGAAGCCGCTCGTCGAAAATGGAGGCATCTCAACCAAGGAGGCGGTCAATCCCTTTACGCGGCTGACGCCATACGCTCTCTACCGCTTCGTGGCACCTCCGTCGAAGAAGTTTCTCGAGCATCGCGACATCGCATTCGCTGGTGTCCTGATGCACATCACTGCTGCCATCATCGCCAACACGCAAGCGCTCTGGATCGACGCCTTCTTCCACGACAAGCTCCCTGCCGTGCGCGAGGCCACTTCCGACCCTAAGGCGATGGAGAAGCTGCAGTATGAGACTGCGCTTCACAACCGCTTCTGCAAGTGGAGGTATCCCGCTGGCCACGGCGACATGTTCCCAGACTTCGTCTTCGATGCGATACCCTATGTCGACAGACTTGTGACGGACTTGGAGCTAAACAAGTACAGAAAGAACGGCATGATTGCCGAAGCTTCAGACCCATATGGCCCGGAGGATTACAAGACTCTGGCCGCGGAGTGGGCAGAGAAGTCGGCTGCTTAAATTGAGAAAATGGAACAGAGCTCTAGAGCAAGCTCGAACATGCTTGGAGACCTCGTAACAAGGGGTATACATGCTCACTCGCCCTAAGACCAATAATACCATTTTGCTACCGCAATTGCTAGTTTATGATGTCTCAACTCGGGGCCAAGGGCATAACCTAGTATGTGTTGCCCAACTGCGTGTGTGCCCAGTCGTTCTCAAATCTCTGCCATCCACCATATTCCGGTTCGCTTCCCATATACAGCTGGTGAACGACCATATCATAGTATCCATCTCTTGGCGTCTTTCCACCGCACACATTTCCTCCCATCGCCACATTCAACAAGATGGTCATATCCCTCATGGGTCGCGTTCCAGGTGGGATATCGCCCTTCATCACAGGTCTTCCATCAATGTACCAGATCATCCTGCCCTGCCCAGGGTGCCCTCCAGGCTGCAGCCAAGCCAAGTCGTACCTCACGGGTCGGTACTGCATATCCGGGATCTTAGTTCCAAGAACACGGTGCTTATCTGGCTCGTGGTGCTGTCCCCAGTGAAGACACGAGTGGTTCTCGCAGTCGCCGTTCCAGGTCTCGGCGATATCAACCTCGCCATCCGTGGGCCATGCGAACGGCTCCTGCGGAAGAAGCCAGAAAGCAGGCCAGATACCCTCAGCACATGGTGAGAGAATGACCGCAGTCAAGACACCCTGGTCCCGCGCCAGCGTCTGTCTGCTAACCAGGCGAGCAGACGTGTACTTCTGCTCGGGGTTCGGGCAGCTGTTGTTGGCGACGGCGCGGAGCACGAGCTTCCCATCCGGAGTGCTACCAGACAATGTCAGTCAATTGAACTTAGCTCAGATCGGGCGGTAGAACTCACTGGAAGGCATTCTGCTGCTCTGCAGTGTAGTGCTGCAGCTCCTGATTACCCCAACCGTCCGGTCCATTGCCAATCTTCGCATCCCAATCCTGAGTCACGGGCACATCAGGTCTAAACTGAGGCTGCCAGTAGATATGTCCAGGCTGGCCTCCCGTTGGCTGCTGCTGCGGTGGCGGCGCATATTGTTGCTGCTGCTGCTGTTGAGGGGGCGGGGCCTGAGATTGTTGAGAGTTTTGCGATCCCGGCTCCGCAATCAGCTGCTCAACCTCATTCTTGAGGCGTTTCAGATGATCTTTCCAGCCCATGGTTCCGAATCGAAAATTGCAGCGTCTGTTGTCGTGATGAAAGCGAAAAACGACTTTGGCGGTCAGGGGAAATTTTCTGTATATCAAGAGAGGGGTCCTCAATCAGGCGATGCCGGCAACCGACTTGGTGTGACGTCACCTGACCGCGTGGGTCGTGGCTGAGCTGAATCGCCAAGCAGAATGTTTGGTGTTTGTATTTTCTTATCTACGCGTAGTACACAAAGTATTGGAGCCACGTCTTTCCACATGAAATTGCTGTTGGGTGAGTCACGGTAGTCAAACTTGGGCTGGCAATTTTGAGGAAATTTGGCTTGTCAAGCGGCTTGCTTGGTATTGGTTGTGCGTTCAGGATGACCGGCGCAAAGCTAACGGCAACTCCGTGAACCTGACTCGCTTGACTGCAACACTGGCGGTTATGGTTCAGAAGCAAGAACTCTCACAGGTTTTCCAAGCGCGCTTGTAAGACGACGACTGGCAATCCTTAGCTCACTCTGAGTGTGACTATCGGCGCTTGTGATTGAGACGAATCTTCTTATCAAGGCGCAACTGGCACCAAAGAGCGCCCCAGGAAATCCTCAGCAGCATTTTCGAAAAGAAAAACACATCCCTAGCTAATGGCGCATTGACAGACTCATCCGCGTGATATGCTGTCTTGAATGCTTCGCCCATCAATCATCATCGTGAGGTGGCTCTCGCAGTGAGTGGGTCAACGTCGCGAGCAGCGATGTCGCCAAGCCCAAGACGTCGTGAGCAGAAATTGGCTCGTTCCAGTTGAAGAAGCTCCATGTAAGCATATGAATATCTCATGAATGAAATACAGGAACAAGAATGTTTCGTGTTGATACATGGTACGAGGATATAGGTGTGTTGATTCCTCACGGCTTCATTCAATCAAGAAATCAATCGTCAACCCTATGTCCGAGCGTCATCATCTCCGTCTCCAAGCAAAAGAAAACGCGGGTTCCCTGGAATCAGATCATGGTGATAACTTTTGGTTGTTGTCTGGATTTCAGTACGAAATTTTGCTATACGGGTTGAGAAACAAAACGACACAAGCGAAGGTAAAGACGACAACAGAGGCGATCATAAGATTAATGGCAATGACCTGTTGGCATGTAGGCACGCGATTTTTTATTTACAAAGAAGTCGTGATAATGTAGTAACCAGACTCCGTGAGTTTAGCCCCTGTAATCACGACCTTAAGGACTTTGAGGTGACGCTCGGTAAAATCGAAATGAATTGACTAATACGCTATCGCTGATGATCATTTGTAAGTGTAACCACCGTCAATGACGAATTGTTGGCCAGTCGCGAAAGAGCATCGCATGCTGAAAAGATACGCTTCGGCTGTTTGCTGTACAGTGCCCACTTCCCTAACAAGTTGATTCTGGACAAAGCCGGCTATAGCTTCCTCGGGGAGATTCTCCAGCATGGGAGTCCGAATGGCACCAGGAGAAACGTTGTTGACCCGAATTGGAGCAAGGTCTACTGCAAGTGCCCTGGTGAGTGTCTCAACGGCACCGCACCATCCGATGCTCTTGGACAGCCCGGGAAATGGCTTGCTACCGTGTATGCCAGATGTCAGGGTCATGGATGAGCTGGAAGCCGCTTTGAGATACATGCCCGGGTCAACTGTCACCAGCTTTCCCACTAGCAGTGGGCCGAGGTAGCGCACCGTCCAGGAGGCATAGGCGTTCGCAGCCGTCACGGCCGAGAGGGGCTCGAAGTCGAACGCGTCTCCCGCCGTGTAAGCGATGTGGTCAAGGGGTCCGCCCAGTTCTGCGACGGCGGTCTTGAGCACCTTTTCCAGGTTGGCCTCAATTGTGTCCACTTGGGCCAGGTCGGCCGCTATGCCAGATATGCTGGCGCTCGGGTACGTTGATTGGAACTCGGCCACGGTGGCGGATATTCTGGATGGATTCGAAGAAGAAACAAACACCTTTGCTCCGGCGCCCAATGCTGCAGACGCGACGCCTTTGCCTATGCCAGCCGATCCTCCAATGATAAGAACTCGGGCGCCCTTGATGGCGTCAATATGACCCTGGCTGCCGCTACTGTTGCGCTGAGACATGATGTGAAATGAGATGGTGTTGGTTCAGACGCAGGTATCTGGTGCGGTGGAAATGATGGGAGACAAGGCATGAATAATGTTCTTACCGCTGTGGTTTTGTAATATCGTGAATTGAGATCAGCTGCTACTTTATGCATTTCATTCGGAAATATCACCGCTATCATGAGTCACGCCGGGGAAGAGATTCGTCCGGGAACGGGCTTAGTGAACTATTATTCGGATCACTTTGCAGACTGTTCAAGAAGACATGTGTCTTAACTCCGGTCACTAGGCTTTAAGGACTTGATAACATCAGAGTCAATGAAAAAGCCATTTCTGTGGCGTATGCATGCTGACTGATCGATCGCTGGTGTTTTCTTCCAGTATTTGTACTTGAGCAGCTTCTATTTACCATTGCGATCATCGATGCAGTGTGCTAGTTACATTAATCGCTTGGCAGACATCGGACTCATGGCCTGAAGTCTCGCTGACAAACTAGTTGACATGAGAAAAGCCACAGCGAGTGAACGAACATCGTTAAGGGCACTTCGATGCGGACTAGCCCCCTATAATCTTACACACAGTACGCGTCAAAATGAGAGACGGGGTTTTGTGTGGTAGTCGTTCCTTTGACCGTGACCTGCTTCCCATCCTGCTGGAGACCACCGCCAGGGATGTACACTCTGCCACCAACCGCAGCGGCCTGGGTTCCGTGGCGAGGAGTCTTCATAGGCTACCGTTCTGTCCACTGCTGCGTCTCGACGTCGTAGACCTCGGTCTGGTTGAAGACGCCAGTAACTGAGTCCACATTCCCCTCGCCACCAAAAGCGTAGAACTTGCCGCCCACCGCACTCCCATTTAGACCCCCACGGGCTGTCGGCATGTGTCCGAGACTCGTCTGCCAGCCGGAAGTCATGTTGCTCAAATCAAGGGAGAAGACGGTATCTCGGTGATTCAGCTGACCATAGCGTCTTCCGCCGACGACGTAGAACGTATCACCGATCACCGCGCCGGAGGAGTGCTGGCGACTTTCTGGTAACTCGGCCGCGGCCATTAGGAGTCTTTGCCAGCTGCTGGAGGTAGTGTTGAAAGCGGTCACACTGTTGACGGCGTCTTAGTAGCCTGTTATGAGCACAGTCATGCCTCCAGCAAAAATAATCAGCGCTGCACCTAAACCAAGTCTATTCAAACAAGTCAATCAAATAGCTAATTAAATTGAGGCTATTTAGAGATTTAAATAGCTAAGTCGCTATCGCTATTAACTTAGTTAACTTAAATAAGTTAGAGGTTAACTAGAAAAAGGGAAAGTCTAGCCTCTAGATTAATTATAATTTTTAAAAGATTTTTTAAAAAATAAAAAAAGCTTATTTAGATATTTTAGTACTTAGCTTTATTCTAATTACTTAAAGTTATAACCCTTATAACTTTTATACTTAAAATAGATAACTTAAACTAGTTTTAAACTAATATCTCTATAATTACTTATATAGTAAACTTATTATTAACTTATTAGGTCTTATTATAATATATCTCTAAAAAAAAAAGAATAAATAGTTATAGATATTAGTTTAGTAATATTTTTAGACTAATAAGTAGTAGAGTAGGGCTAGGTACTTCTTAGTAATAAGGCTAATACTATTAAGAAGTACTAAAAATATTAGAAATATATTTTTTACTATACTACTAAATTAATATATTTTTAGTCCCCTTACTAAGGCTTAAAAAAAGCTTATTTTTAACCTCTATACTAGCCTTTAAAAATAACCTTTTTTTAATATTACTATTAATACTATTACTATTACTACTACTACTATTACTAATTAATCTCTTAAAGCCTTACTTATCTATATACTCTTTTAATACCTCTATTAATATCTTACCTACTCTTATAATACCTCTACCTAATATTAGCTAATATTTTAATTATTTTATTAGTATTACTCTATTACTAGCACTTTATAGTATTACTACTTAACTATATACTACTTTAACTATTAATAATATATTAAGTACTAACTTAGGTATAAAAGATTCTCTATAAACCCTACTTTAAACTAAGTAGAAGAATAAGACCTTTTTTAATACTAAGTTAATCTTAAAGAAGAGGTCTTATAACTATACTTCTTAGATTAGAAATAAACGCTTTTTTATTTATAAACTTCTACTTAATAACTAACTTAGTATACTATTTATAATACTTACTTATTTTTATATTAATACTTTATAAAAGTAATATATATTAGGTTTACTACTACTATAATAAAGCTAGTAGTATTAATAAGCCCTTTAATACCTCTACTATAACTACTACTATTAACTATTTTAAAATAATATACTATATTAAGTAGAGAAGTTCTAAAGTTAGAAGTAACTCTAATAATATAAGCCTACCTCTAAAATACTACTACTCTACTATAATTACTATACCTAAGTTAAAAGTCTATTAGATTAAAAAACTTATTATAAGCTACTTTATTAATATAAATAACTTATTTATAATATTTAATAACTAATATATTTAATATATCCTCTATCTATTTAATTATAATATTAATAACTAAGTCTATTAATCTAGAGAGAATATAAAGCTTTAACTTAATTACTTATATATATCTAAAATAATATAAATTAAATAGGAGATATAAGATACTTTTAGCTAAATATATCTATTATTTAACTTATAGACTTCCCCTAATTAATATATAATTATTACTATCTTTAGTTACTTTATTAATAAATTAAGTAAGTAGATATAATACTTCTTAGCCCTCTATTATTAACTTAATACCTACTTAGGTATTAATATTACCTCTACTTTATATATAGTTATTAATAACTTTAAAATATTAGCAGTCTAGTTAACCTATATAAGTAGGTATTATAGTTCACTCTATACTTGTTTTCCCAGTACTTTAAACCTAATAGCAGCACTTTAACCTATACCTAATCTTAATAAAGTAAATAAATAAATCTTAGTATAACTAGTTATTAACGCTTAGTTTAACTTATCCCTAGCTATACAGAAGAGGGCAGGCAGGTAGGTAGTAGAGCAGCAAAACATACTAGTAAGAGTATTATTCATAACACTATTATTTATAAGAGCGTTATTCATAATATCGCAAAGATATTATCTATAACACAACTGAAGCCTAGTAATAGCTTAAACCTACACTTAAGAGTATAAACTTAATAGTATAACTCTTTACTACTATAGCTAAAAGGGTTCTTATAGCTATAGTATAAAAACTTAACTACTACTTCAAACGAGGCCTTAAGCTTATTCCTCATATCCTCCTATATATACTATAACTGCAATAACTTTCCTAGCTTTCCTACTTATTATAACTCTATATAAGCTAAGTAAGGCTATACTAGATAACTTAATCTATAAGACTAAAATTAATAAAATTAAGGGCTTTAAGTATAGTAACCTTCTCTATACTAATAAGAAAACTCTCCTCAAATTCGCCTAAAAGTACCTACTTAAGATAGCTAATAAGAGTAATATAATAGAGTTATATAGCCTTAAGATTAATATAGAGATAGTTAAGGCTATTAATAATAATCTTAATACCTATAATTACTTTATAGGCTTCCTTAAGATAGCTAAAGTAGCCTAAGTGCTTAAACGTCAGTAAGTTAGGAAGGGTAAATATATATATTAAGAGTATAGCTAATAGCAGCAGGGCTCTTTATTAAGACTATGCAGTAGGGCGGAAGACGTTATAATAGCGTAATAGTATAGGGGCCTTAAGACCCCTACGCCTAGTAGAACGGCGTAGATATCTAAACAGCAGAGGAGATAACAGAAGATAGGTGCAGATTAAATATAGCGTGAGAAATAGAGGAGACTAACGCAGATAGAAGCAGCTAGAGGAAGATAATTAACTTAGCTTATTATAATAGTTGAAGTCAGAGGAGCGTAGAGGCGAAGAAGATGTCTAAATCTGAAAGTTATATGACCTAAAGGTTGTTAGTAGAGGGCGAGGGGACCAGTCTAGCTTTTACAGTTAATACCAGTTAAATTTCACAATATAAGGCTAGCAGCCCTTAATAACTTTAAAATACTTAACTAAATTAGGCTTATAGTTTATAATAATATTATAAATAATAATATTTATATTAAAGCGCTCTACCTATCTATCTTATTATTATATAATAAAAAAAATACTATCTATTTATAGATTTAATACTATAGTTATATCCTTAATCTAATTAGTTAAGCTATTATCTATAGTATTAATTAAGATATTTTTAAAGACTAATCTAAGTATCTTATTAATACTAATAACTTAGAGGTAGATATAGTACTCTAGAGGAATAAGAGACCTATTAGTAAACTTTATAATATTATTAAGTATATTAGATTATTACCTTAATATATAGAGAAGTTCTTAGAATTTAATAATAAAGCTAATAATTAATCTAATATATTTATAATCTTTAAAAAGTTATTTTAAAAGCTTAATTTAATACTAAATAATACTATAAAATAGAACTTAATATATATAATAATCTAAAAAGTTTTATTTAAATATAACTAGATTAATACTTTTATATATAATAATAAACTTCTTTATAACTTAGTAGACTATCTCTCTAATAAGGATTACCTCTCTAATAAGGATTAATATATCCTTATTAAACTTAATAATATTCTTAAACTTCTCTATAAATAGACTAAGTAATATAAAAATTAAAGTAAAAGTAATAAGTATAGCTAATTCTAAGAGGTTCTTATAAATATAAAGTACCTCTTAGATAAATTAAAAAACTAATAAAAGTTATATAATATCTCTATTAATAAAGAGATTAATTAAATAGCTTTATAGAGTTAATTATTATAGTTAACTTAGTATATAAAGTTATTATAGTAATCTTTATATTAATTAGTAATATCCTTATAAACCTTATTAATTAATAGTATCCCTACTTATACCTATTTTAAATATAAATCTTAAAATCTTTAAAATAAGGTTAATTTTAACTCTAATATCTACTTATATATCTCTATTATTAAT